TTATCTATGTACTTGAATCAGTATTTGGAGGCGTGATTTTGTGTGTTGCATGCACCCAACTGCTGACTTTGACTTTGGGACATTCTAAGGACGTGTGTATGTCAATCTGTCTTATTTCCTTTTGTATACCGGGTAGCAATGTTTAAAGTGTTAACTTTAGGGTAGCATCACACAAGCCTTGTTTTGGCTTTGATGCGCCCGTCATGCAAACAGTGTTGTGCTCCATACAATAAATGTATTATTATTATTATTATTATTATTATTATTATTATTATTATTAAGTATTGACCTTATGTTTGTCATCATATTTCACACTTTCTGGAAGATTATGATTGAGCCCTTCCTCGGACTTTCCAAATCACGTGTTGTGACATTTTGAGTATCATGTTCGCATTGCGCCAACTTGGGCATACCTGAGTCACAACCCGGCGATAGCCAGGTGCGAATGTGACGGGAAATACCTGGTTATCTTTACGCAAATAACAAGGGAAGGTAACTAAGAAAGAACGCCTAGGGTGCCTCAATGTCCTTCTGTTTAGAATGATGCCACACTTTGTAGTACCCGATGTAGACCGCATGCGTTCACGGGTAAAATAGAAAGAAATCTACGAAAACAAAATGTCGCCATAGCACAGTCAGCGCCACAAACGTGTGCAGGGACACGCTCTTTCACGAGCTTTTGAACAAAAAAGATAAATAAAAGTGTGAAACAAAATGACCAGATGTCTCCACCCTCAGCCAAGCACACATGAAGGCACCTTAAGAACTCCCATACCTTTTCCAAAGTAACAGTCTCGAGTTACTTTTTTTTCAATATGGTAGCATTGAAAAAAGTAACTCGTAAAAGATACAGTAACTGTATCTGGTAGCTGTAACGGTAACTTCGCTACTACTTTTTGTTACGAATTACACTTTTTAAGCTAACTTACCGAAGACCGCTCCCAACCAGGTTGGGGAGGCATAGGGCGCATGCGCGGGAGCACTGCGCTTGGGCAGCGACACCCAAGCCGCTCGGAAGACCCAAAGCATTGTGGGCCCCCTATTCTAAAACTCTCTAGCTTCTTACAAGCACTGGCGTTGGATGGCATCGTGTTTTCCGAGAATAAGATATTTGATTCAGATTTCCTTCGTGAACAATGACCTGTTAATAGGAACGAAGCAGTAATGCATCGAAGAGCTTTTGGCGTAAAATCCTTCCATACTTGTTCGCATTTGAATTTATTTCTTTTTTTCAGAATACCAGTTGAGGTTCGTTTAGTGTGCATATTTGAACCTGTTTATTATAATCGTCTGCTTAACACTACACCCACTCAAGAGCTAAATCTATACTTTATAAAATTAAAATGCGATTTCTTGCTCGTAAAAGTAAATAAAGACGATCATATTTTTAACGTTATTGAAACGGCGTCCTTCAAAATGGAACGAGGTGGCAATACCAGCTTCCTTAATGGTTTCTGCTTTCTTTCCCGCTTTTTTCTCTTTTTTTTGGTGAAATTGAAAGCTTGGAATGCGTTCGGGAGTGAACTCGAAACCTTCACTTTCTAAAGTTTTCTATTATTGTCATAGTAATTACACTGTCTTCAGAGGCCCAATAGTTGCATACATGCGGATTGCTGTTTCTGTTCTCGACACCTTGTTGCGGCTCCAGTGACTTTAAACGAATAGCTACTTGACTGAATAATTAACCAATGTTATTGTGCGCTTCAACATCGCATTTTTGTTTTTTGTGGAGCAAGAACTATGAAGCGGCGTTACTTCCTGTCTTATACGGCTCATTTGTGCATAAAAATTGCCATTTCAAATTTTGATATGACGTCAAACGTTCGAGTTATGTGATAAGCTCAATCCACTTGCGCCAGCCCATAAAGGGGAGGGGGGGATTATTTCAAGCCATGTGCCGAGAAGTGATATAAGTTCATTTTGGCTTCGCACATCCAATTCCATTACACACAAAAAAATATTCTTATCTCAACTTATCGAGAGCGTATAACAGCGTAATATCGCAACACCCTAGTAAACTACGTGCTAAAAAAATCACTATATAGGTGTGCTGTTATCAATTTGATGATAACGAGTAGGCCTAAATATATTACGGCGATTTCCGATGCTCGTTTTGGAGCACCCCAGTGCGCTCTCTATACAGTACGCGGGATTATGTGCTTGCTTGCGTTTGGTTAGACCCCCACGAAGACTTTCGTATTGAGTGGGTCGCACACGATCAATCGATCAACGCCGCGACTAGGATCATGGACAGTTTAAGGAACACAGGTGTTTTTTTACGCTTCTTGCTTCGTGGTTCGATCTTCGGCGTTCTTTTCGACGAATTAAGCATTCCCGTCGGCTTCGGAGCAACGATAAGAAACGCTCGGCGCACGCCACGTCCTACGTTTCTGAAGCTGTCAGCCGACCATAGTGACTCTCTTTGGTCTCACAAAAGCCTGCTCACATGGAAATCTTATATCTGGGGCATATCTGGCCATCTAAAAGATTATATGATTATATACGGCCTATATACAGCCTTATCTTGAGTATATTCATCCTAATCTGGCGTATATACAGCTCTATCTGGCGAATATAGAGCCTTATCTGGAATATATACAGCTAATTTGGTGTATGTAACACTTATCTGGCATATGTACAGCCTTATTTAAGGTATATACTTCGTTATCTGGCGTATATGCAGCTTAATCTGGCGGCCGGTTTTCAATATATAAAAAAGTAAAAGAAAAAAGTTTAAAAAAGTGCTTTGTTAGCAAACTGTTAATGAATCATTGTTCGCGAGCTAAATATTAGCATAAATAATCCCAAACTTCAGCTTGGGTAAGCTTAAGTCTAAGATTATTTGTGCTCATTTTCACGAGAATTTTAATGTAGCTTAATTATTTCGAAGTGTTAACATTACGCCGGAATACACAATTTGCTAAATCCCCCAAGCGCCTCGGCCCGTACTCGAGGAATCATGGGGACGGTGTTCCTTCAGCTCCCTGGTGATCGGAAATTTCGACCAGTTCCATGATTACACAGTTCTGAGTGTAATTCGGAGTCACCCTGAACAAGTGTCGTATAGAACCCAAGTACCTGTCATATCACTTTTAAAATTTGTCGCCAATGTCAGCACTGTGCATTCCGTCCAACCTTCAACCTGGATGAGTACGGACATATCTCTTACATTTTTATCCTTCTCATACAGCTTCAAAGATGCTACTATTGAGTTAGAAACGCTAAAAATGCTACGAACAGCTCCGCTGAATCCGAGCTAAATCCCGGTTTTGGTTGTTTTGATTTCTCGGCTTTTAAGTAATTCTTGCTAAAACAACAATCACGAGAATGATAATATTGTAAGAGATTTCTGCGGCTCAGCCAGAATGAAAGGTGGATCGCATGCACAGTATCATAAACGCTGCCATTACGAGAAATTTTAAGAGAGATATGACAGGTCCTTGAGCTCTGTGGAACACTTGTTCAGGGTAACTACGAATTACACTCGAAACTGTGTAACCATGAAATTTGTCGAAATTGCCGTTCACTAGGGAGCAATCGTTCCCATGATTCCTCGAGTGCCTGCCGGGGAACTTGCGAGAATTGTAGACAATCAAAATATATAAAGTGCTGATTTCAGTCTCGTGTCCTTTTGATATGCCTGGCCAGATCTGTGATTTCCATAGCTGGCCAGGAATATCAGACTGTATCTCGCATTATGAGGCTATATCTGGCAGATATTCCATATCAGGTTATGTGTGGCCAATTTTTATATGTGCCATATTTGAAATCTTTACATCTGGCCAGATATAATTACTTTGCTCACAAACCTTTGACGGAGGCTCGGACAGGGGTGGCGGGCTGGGAAAGATGCATACACTTGAGCTTAGCGATCGCTGTTGCATCTCACCTGTAGCGGCACACGAAATGCTACCGGTCATCATGAGACGAGCCCAAATCTAAGTGGAAGAATTTATTTTGAATAAATTCAAGTAGACCTCGAAACGCTACGCCCACTTCGCAAAAGAAAAAAAAAAAAAAAAAACGATTGAATAGGAATCGTTTTGATTTCCACCCAGATGCATGCAACAGGCGACATAACGGGCCCTTTGGTAGCAGCACTTCAAGGTATCCTCAGCTGTACTTCGTTTCAGCTTAACTCCAGACGCAGCCGACGCTACGAGGTAAGGGGACCAATCAAGCAGAGTCAAAAGCGCAAGTCACTGAGCCTTTTCTGCTTAGGATTGCTTCAGCAACGATAGAATATACATACATATAAACATGACGAACACCACGATGGTGCGTTTTTGACGTTCTCTGATTTGTCCAAACAACTCGTAGTGTCGGCTGCGTCTGGACTCAAGCTGAAACGAAGGATATAGCCAGTGACAGGTTAAGAATTCAGTAGATGCTCCGCCTTAAGTGCGAGCTTTCTGCCTTCGATAACACTTCGTCTCAGGCGTAGCCAAGACTCAGTGGAAAGCATCGGGCATGTGCTAAAGGTTGAGCTTATAATCTTGTTTGGTCTGTCACCGACTATAATTCTTTTCTGTTAACCAAGACATACATCAATATATACTTTCTTTTTTCTTCTTACAACAGGGTAAATTTTTTCCTCGAAGCCCGCACACTTCGAGAGTTTTCCAGGTTCCGGGGTACACACCTAAAACGGAACAAACCAGCCTCCCGAGGCACAACCTGAATCTTCTTAGTGGAGGACCTACAAAGCGGCGAGTGTCGGTGGAAGTACCTGCTGCATGCGTCACACATCATCACGAGGTGCTGCTGCTGCTGCTGCCGCTGTTGTTTTCGTCGGGGGAGGAACTTGACCGGACATATTAGATGAAGAAAACGCGGCTGACTATGGCGCACGGCAGACGTGGTTGTCGGGTAAATGCAACAGCTACCGTGCTCGATATACACAACGGGGTGATGGTCGTCGTCATCGCGGACACAGGCGACGATCGAAGACGGCTGCTTTCTCAGTCCAGTGCACGCGTCTCGGCGAGCAGCGAGCTCTACTACAGCTTGACTTCGTGCCTGGTGACGCGATCGACGGCGGTGCCCGGGTCCGCTGGAGGCGGGAGGAACTCGGCGTTCTTGGAAGCAGGCAGCGGCGTGACCGCGGCGGATGGTGGGCAGGGCGCTTCGTCGCCTTCACCCAGGAGGAAGTAGGTGGTCACGCGGCCTTTGCCCTGCGAGTGAAAGCAAAAGATAAAGCTAACCGCAATTAAAAAAAAATCTGAATTAAAGAACTAAAGTAGACTTTCTTGAAAGGTCAATCAAGCAACATTGGTGGTCGTTATTTCTTGGGAACGAAGCGTATGATTGGCTCTTTTTGTCGTCAGCGTACGCTGAAGCAGCGCTCGTTTTCGATGCGAATTGAGCCCAGTTTACGCCGGACGCTGACGGAACCATCGTATCTAATTTATGCTCGGACATTACCTCCTATATACAGACAAAGCCTGGCAGATCGCCACGAGAAGCGGCCGCCGAAATGGAAAAGGTGGAGCGTCAGACAACGGATGAGAGGACAGCCACGTGACTGGCGTCCCGCTGTAGTGAGACGCCGAAACACACTTCTCCCGAGCGAACAAGCGTGTTTCGGGTCCTCGCCGCCTCAAAAGGCGTGCGCTGACGTCCAGGTTCCTCGAGAAATGGCGCTTTGATGCTTCGTGCAATCAGATCCTCGCGCTCCAAATCTGCGACCGGGCACCCTATGGCTCTGTCGTCGAACTGCCAGGTTTTGTCAGTATAGAGGAGGCCATGACTCAGAGTATTCGCGACTTTAGTGACCTTCAGGGGACGCCAACTACCGGGCAGGTGTGGCGGTCGAAATCAGGTCGCGCCCAGCCACGTGCCAGCTCAACGCACAACGCTGGGGCATGACGCAAGCAAGCAATGAACTCAACATGGTTTGCCCCAAATTTTATCTGCCGAGCTTTCGAGCCTGCGGCGATGTGGTGGCGTAAGCGAGCTTCCCGGTGCTTGACTTTCTTCGAGGAAGCAACGAAAGGACTCCCTACCGTCCTTCCACGATGTTGATGAACGTTGATAAACTCTAAATGTCTGGTTCACGCGCGGATAAAAGTAGGTTGCGTTCAGAGCAGTATGGGTAACAAGCTGATACTACAGTTACGATAGAGTCAGAGACACAACTGTCCCATCACGAAAACCACCGACAACATGTAATCACGGACGCCACAAGAGGCGAGCAGAGATCGCGAGAGGACCCTGTTCCGGCAGTTTAGTGTTTTCCCGTTAAGTTTCTTTTTAGCGTACTTTTCCCGTTAAGCCTTTCTTTTAGCGTACTTATGGCCTCTGAAACGTGATATACTCCTGATTCAAATAACTTCGTCTTGCCTAATTACAAGCATTTTTCTATGCGAAGAAATGCTAGAAGAGGGGGAGGTGCTTTAATGCTTGTGGAATCATCTTTGAATTGTTCTGTAGCAGCCGAGGGGCACGAGAGGAGAGCACGAGACACGAGCTTTGCGATTCGGTGACCGAGCGGACCGGCGGCTAGATCGGACGATGTTTTCTACTGTTTCGGTTTTTTGTAAATATTGTATATAAACATATGTTGAGTGCCAACTGACTGGTTACCACAGTTGCGTTATTCCCGATTTTACGGAACTGAATGACTCTTTAGAATATTGTCAGTACTCCCTGATAACTACGTTTTCAGTGTGCTATATCAACCTCCCTCTGCAAATGTTAACATCCCGCTTTCTGTACTTGATAAACTATTCAGCTATGTTAATGACAATAATTATACCCTTTTCTTGGGAGGTGATCTTAACATTGATCTCTTAAAAACATCAGCTATGCATGATGATCTATTTTCTGTAGTCGAATCAAATGGTTTTGAATCTGTTACTACGGATGCAACGAGAGTAACAGAAAATGGCTGTACCTTACTTGATTACTTCATTACAAACTGCAACAAGGAATATATTTATGCATCAGGTTTAATTAGCTGCAGCATTAGTGATCCTTTACCCATATTTCTTCTTGTTAACACGCACTTGGCTGCTCGCCAACACAAATCAGAAGGATTTAGAATTCGAAACATTACGTCGCCAAGACTGCAGTCATTTAGGAACTCGATTGGGACCGCTAATTGGGCCCCGTTTATTCCAATAATTCACCTGATGCAGCATATGAAGCATTCTTGGAAACGTTCGAAGACATTTATAACAAATGCTTTCCTTATAAGTACATAAAGCCTAGCAAGAGAACAAAGAAACCATGGGTTTCCCATGATTTATAAAAAATAGCCTATATTATATAGTTAGAGATTCTAAATACAATGATGATTTAGTGAAATTTAGAAAATATAGAAACAAATTTATTACGTTGATGAAAAAAGCCAAGCAAGAATATTATTGCAATCTATTTGGTGATATTAGAAAAAATGAGCCAGATAAACTTTGGAAAAATATTAACCGGGTATTAAAGCCTCATGATCATAAAGACGCGTTAACAGAAATTGTTCACTGTGGGCAAAAGCTATCTGGCACGTCACTCGCAAACACTTTCAATGATTACTTGGTAAACTTAGCCACCAGCACTCCTAATATAACAAATAGTGAAGACCCATGCGGCTATATTAAGGAACATGCGCATTCTTTTTTTTTTTTAAGTCCAACTGATGAAAATGAGGTAATGTTGGCATTTAGAAGTATACAAAATAGCAACGGAGATGATGTAAATGACTTGAATATTAAACCAATTAAATTTGTTATTGACCTTTTGGCTACACCACTCAGATTTATATTTAATCTTTCAATGTCTTTAGGCGCGCTCCCTAAACTTATTAAAATTGCTAAGGTTGTTTTGTTATTTAAGGGTGGCGATATTAACTTGTTGGAAAATTATAGGCCAATATCAATACTTTCCAATTTTTCTAAGAGATTCGAAAAAATACTGCGTAGTAAACTGTCGGCCTATTTAAAGCGTTTCTCCTTGTTAACGAACAGTCAACATGGCTTCAGAAAGGGAAGGCCTACTGAATCCGGCCTAGTTGCTGAAAAAGAAGTAATAATAAATAGCATAGAAGATAAACTACTGACATTAGCCATATATATCGACTTTTTTAAGGCATTTGACTTAGTTAACCACAGTATACTTCTACAAAAGTTACTATGCTATGGTATTCGGGGTCATGTACTCAATTTATTCAAGTCATATCTGGCTGAACGGAGACAATTCGTTAAAATCAATAACTCAGTTTCAACTATAAAAACAGTACATACAGGAGTACTTCAAGGAAGAGTTTTAGGTCCTCTATTATCTGTTTTATTTTCAAATGACATTGAGCACAGTGTTTCAAACAGCACAGTAATAGCTTACTCCGATGGCACTACATTATTTTTGAAAGGCACTACTTGTGACGGTATCAAAAAAAGGGCGAAACATGCTCTCGCAGCTGCATAGTTGGACAGAAATGAATAGATTACGCATTAACATAAACAAAACTAAGTGCCCCCCCCCCCCCCCCCCCCCCATGCTGTTTCGAGTCAAAAACGTGACTGTTCATTCTAAACCAAATATCACCTTAACCAGGGAGGCAATCGAGATAGTAAAGTCATTCAAGATATTAGGTGTAATCTCTTCAGATAAGTTATTATGGAATGAGCACATAGAATAGATACATAAAAAAGCCACAAAAGCTGTTGGTACTCTACACCGATCCCGTACAGTGTTCACCTCATTTGTTAAATTAATAATTTTTCACGGCCTCGTGCAGTCATATTTTCAATATTGTCACCTGGTATGGGGTTCCACTACCATTCGAAATATAAACAAACTTCTAACTCTGCAAAAAAAAAAATCTAAGAGTGGTTCCAAATGTGTCCTATTTTTACCATGCAGATGTCCTTTTTGCCCGTTTTAATGTTGTAAAAATAACACATCTACATTACTACAGCCTTCTAGTATCTTATAAAACAGCACAGAAAATAGACATAGTTTTTTTACAAATAGCAAATTTAAATAAAAATACGAACGTTTATAACACACGGCGAAGTGAAGAGTGGAGTTTACCCATCCCCCGGACAAACTATCGACTGACATCGGTTTTATACATACTTCCATCTTTCTTGAACAAGCTGAATGTCGAAACAAATTTTAGTCACAGCTTACCATTTGAAGCTCTAATGTTGATACTGTCGAGGTTGTGAACTTGGGGCTTCGTGTTGTATGTGTGCTGTGGCGAAGTGAAGAGTGGAGTTTACCCATCCCCCGGGCAAACTATCGACTGACATCGGTTTTATACATACTTCCATCTTTCTTGAACAAGCTGAATGTCAAAACAAATTTTAGTCACAGCTTACCATTTGAAGCTCTAATGTTGATACTGTCGAGGTTGTGAACTTGGGGCTTCGTGTTGTATGTGTGCTGTGTCAATTGATATCATATGTTACATTGTAATCTTGTTATGTATTTTTCTGTGTGTGTGTTTTTCTGAACTTGAAGAATGTTTTCATTTTAGATTTGATTTTTTGAACAAAGCCCTGTACGCGCGCTGCTGTCTTGGAGCTGGGGCCTTGTCAAGCTGTACGTGTTGCAGCTTTTTGTCCCAGCTACCATCTTTCCTGGTGAAATAAAAATAAATTGATTGATTGATTGATTGATCGATTGATTGATTGATTGAAGTGCCCTCCGTTTTGCAGGAGTCGCGAACATCTTCTAAGACCATTCCGGGCTCGGATAATTGGCACATCAGGTACTAAATGGCGCCTGCCTTTGCAAAAGACTTATTGAGTGCTCCCTCTTTTTCTAAACATTGAAAACAGTGGTGACATTCTGTGGTATAGAAGGTTCGAACGCGACAAAAATAATTTTGAAGAAATGCTCGTTTGCACGAACACTTTCTCGAAGACAAAACTTCGTCTTGCACTACCTCGTACGATACTATGCCAAGCGACAACTTCCTGTGCATAGAGAGGCGTGCGTGCCAACGCGCATGTACAGCACCGAATAAGCTACACCACAGCCTCCTCTATACCCCAATCAACTCTATACTTACGACCACTGCATCTGAGCGCTCTCTATGGAAGAGCCTGCTCCCGGCCGAGGGCCGAGTTTTAGCGCCGCCTAGTGAGAGGCGTTCTCACTAGGCGGCACAAGAGCTCGGTCCTCCTACCTCGTCGGGTTCTTCGTTATGCGTGGGTGCGTGCCAGCTGATCGC